AAGTAAGAAAAACACTATGGGGTTTGATAGATTTTATCGTCGCCCTTAGTGATCTGAGATAGAAATCGTGAGCTCGTTTTGTTGCTCTTCCCGTGGCGAAGAGTCGCGATTAGGTTTTCGATTTTGTTGAGTACTACAGCGTTTGCGTGAGCGTTGGCTGTACGAGTAGTCGCTGCTGGAGTTGTTTTACCAGCGTCTTTTTGCGAGTTGCGACTTTGTCTTTCATACATCCAGACATCGNGTGGCGAAGAGTCGCGATTAGGTTTTCGATTTTGTTGAGTACTACAGCGTTTGCGTGAGCGTTGGCTGTACGAGTAGTCGCTGCTGGAGTTGTTTTACCAGCGTCTTTTTGCGAGTTGCGACTTTGTCTTTCATACATCCAGACATCGTTTTGGTCAAGCGTTTTGCGGCTATGAGTAAGAGTAATCCGACCCCCCCCCCCTCCTTCTAGCGCCAAACTGTGGGAACCGAAATTCACCTACTGTCAATAAATCGTAAAAAAGGAAACTTCGGGAAAACCCTAAGTTTCCAGAGGAACTGGATCTCTGCGAAAGCCAACGACAAGTAACCAAGAACGCGATTAATATGAATAAATTGAAAGATATAAAAAGAAAAACGAGATTGAGAGCAAGAAGGATTCTTATTCCGAATTCGCGTAAGAACGGTTAGAACGAGAGTTGCCTTAGCTGCGTGAGCCGTCGGCGAAATTTCTAGTTCTATCAATCTAAGACTAAAACCCTAGTTGAGACGCAGCTCGATAACGAAAACGGAAAATTGCCTAAATGCTAAGTTTGGTGGTGAAAGCTCTGAAAACTCGTCTCCGTTGCTTCTGCCCTAGACCACCTATTTATATACTCCTCGCCTTGGCTATCCGATCTTTCCATTTCGCCCAGATTTGACTAAATTGGGAATTTTCCATTTTTCTCGATCTTTCATTTTCTTCCGCGGAAATCTTCTATTTTTTTTCAAATCTTCCTTTTATCTTCAAACTAGACTTTTATTTTCCTCCTGCGAGTAAACCGTCAAAACATTATCGAATCTGCGGGTTAGATTCCGTTAAGATCGCAAGATGGGGTTTTATCGCGTTTTAGGCCCTTCCGGGCCGTTTTGCGATAAATCCGTTTTCCGATTTTTTACGGGATCGTTTCCTGATCTGACATCGTTTTAAATAAATTCCTCGAGTTAATCGTAAGGTTTTACGATTTACTCGACTTTTTATTAAAAACACGTTTTTTACGATTTTCTCGACGTTTTTTATTAAAAACGCGTTTTTATGATTTCGACGAGAAATCTCGAATAAATCGTATGTTTTAGGCAATGTTCGGCGTTTCGTTTAACCGTCACCGTTTTATACGTTTTCCTCGAGTTCTTTGTCGAGAAAGCGAAGTTTTTACGGTTTTTATCGTAAAACTCGAACGATAAGTCGGATCAAGATGAAACGGGAGATGTTTCGGCCGTGGTTCAGAATGCGACCGTGTCGAAAGACGTAAGTTTCAAATCGGGAATCCAGGAAGTTTTTAGTTCGCCCATTGGCAAACTAAGCCGGGCCAGCTTAGTTCGCCAATGGGCGAACTAGTTGAGCATTTCCTAGTTCGCCAATTGGCGAACAAAGTTGGGCCAGCTTAGTTCGCCAATTGGCGAACTAGTCGAGTGCCAGCTTAGTTCGCCAATTGGCGAACTATTGGAGTGCCTCTTAGTTCGCCCATTGGCGAACTAAGTCGGTTCGGCTTAGTTCGCCCATGGGCGAACTAGTCGTGACTAGTTCACGTTTTACGGCTTTTTTGGTTTTTTGTGGTTTCGTAAAACGATTCTCGAGTTTTATAAAACGATCTTCGGGTTTTATAAAATGGCTTCTCTAATTTTATAAAACGATTCTCGAATTTTATAAAATCATTTCTCGAGTTTTATAAAACGATTCTTGAGTTTTATAAAACGATTCTCGAGTTTTATAAAACGATTCTTGAGTTTTATAAAACGATCTTTGAGTTTTAAAAAACGATTCTCGAGTTTTATAAAACGACTTCTCAAGTTTTATAAAACGATCTTTGAGTTTTATAAAACGATTCTAGAGTTTTATAAAACGACTTCTCGAGTTTTATAAAACGATTCTTGAGTTTTATAAAGTGATCTTCGAGTTTTATAAAACGATTCTCGAGTTTTATAAAACAATTTCTCGAGTTTTATAAAACGATTCTTGAGTTTTATAAAACGATCTTCGAGTTTTATAAAACGATTCTCGAGTTTTATAAAACGATTTCTCGAGTTTTATAAAACGATCTTCGGGTTTTATAAAACGGCTTCTCGAGTTTTATAAAACGGCTTTTCGAGTTTTATAAAACGATTCTATCGTTTTATAAAACGATTTCTCGAGTTTTATAAAACGGCTTCTCGAGTTTTATAAAACGATTTCTCGAGTTTTATAAAACGATCTTCGAGTTTTATAAAACGGCTTCTCGAGTTTTATAAAACGGTCTGCGAGTTTTATAAATGACTTTGAGTTTTATAAAACGACTCTTCGGGTTTTATAAAACTATNAAACGATTCTATCGTTTTATAAAACGATTTCTCGAGTTTTATAAAACGGCTTCTCGAGTTTTATAAAACGATTTCTCGAGTTTTATAAAACGATCTTCGAGTTTTATAAAACGGCTTCTCGAGTTTTATAAAACGGTCTGCGAGTTTTATAAATGACTTTGAGTTTTATAAAACGACTCTTCGGGTTTTATAAAACTATTCCTTTTATATTTTTGCGGGGAGTTTTGGCTATTAATTCCGTCGTACCGATTTTGACCCCAACAATTCTTTTGGAAGACCGCCAAGGATGTATTCAACCTGATCTTCATGCTCAATTGGCTTCCCAAGAAGCGCAAGCTGGTCGAATCTTGTAGTAAATCCTTGCAGATACTCATCAATGGTTTTTGTACCTTTTGTCCAACCTTTGATTTGAAGTTTGATCTGCTGGACATGACCCCGTGTAGGTTTTGCGTACGTAGATGATAGAGTGGACCAGATATCAGCAGATGTCTTTGCAGTTGAGGGAATAGGTTGGATGGTAGGCGTGATGGCTCCAATCAAGCCACTGAAGATCAGATGGTCTTGACGTGTCCAAATCGTGAAAGCCGGATTTGGTGTAGTGAGTCCATCGTTGGTGAGAGTAGGAGCAGGTGGTGGTATGGAACCATTAAGGTGATCAGAGAGTCCATAACCATCAAGTAGAGCTTGGATCTGAATACTCCACATCAGAAAATTGTTTGAAGAGAGTTATGTAACATTAGACATGTTAATGTGGAGGAGGGCATTGGGTGTGGTGTCAACGGTTTCTGCTGTTGTGGTTGACATGATTCAAAGAAACAGAGTTGGAGGAGTAAAAAAGATCGAGAGATCGATGGAAAAGAAGAAGCTAGAAAAGAAAAACTTTATGGCTGCTCTGATACCATATAAAGGTATTGTTTTATATATCTATGAAGAGAGGCTGGTACATGAATATATACAGACTCTAGAGATGCCCTAGGAGCTATACATTTATACATGTTTCCATAAGTAGAAAAAGGGAATATTACAAACTTAATAGAGAGGGATCTCTAGTATCCTTAACACTTCCCACATTCTCACTCTACACCCTCTGAAGCTCAAGGACATATCAATATAGTGTAAGGTAAATGCAAGGATACATCTAAACCGTTTTCAAGTGCAAAGACCATCATAACTTCTTAACTTCAAGATGATCCACTCAAGCTTCACGACATTTTTTCTAAAGTACTCACCATCATTCTTGAAGGTGGAAATATCCTTCTTTTCACTAACCAAATGAAAGGAAGTCAAGCTGGAGACTTTAAACAAGCTCAGCTTGGGAGGAATTTCCATGATATCATTTGTAAATATTATTATCTAGATTTGGTTTTGTTTATGTGTGTTTAAATAAGTTTAGGGAGATTTGATTGATGCAAGAAGGAAACTAACAAATTTGAGTGAAATTTTCATATTACCAAATGGTCATGTCAAAATCGTGGATGCAACAATCAAAGGCCAATGGTCCTTCACCACACAATTCAAACCACCTCCTAGTAAGTACCACTCCAATTTGTACATACTTAGTCCTCATTACATTTTAATAACTTCATGGGTTTCTCTTTTATGTTTACTCTAACACAAGGACTATGTGATGTAAATTTGTAGAAGAACATTTAATTGAATAACTTATGGGTTGCAATGCATAAACTTTGGATCATAATGCTTGGATTATCCTATTTTCATATTACTCTCATGTTAAGTCGAACTATCCTTTCTCTGTTGAAACCTAAATCACTTATTCTAACATTATTGTTCGTTGAGTGAGGCTTCTGTTTTGTGCAGACATGTGTGAAAACCTGTGAGTATTAGGATGATAAAGAGATTGTTGTAGTTAATCTCATTTCAGGGTTAGCAACATTTAGGTGAATTTAAGCTTTAACTTGTACCAGATACATAGCCGCTCGGACACAAATTTATACTAATTTATTTTGATAGATAGATATCAATAAATTACTTATTTTTATGTTAATTTTAATATATAGTAAAAGGAATAAAAATCGGCTCAACGCACTTAAATGTTGCTAGTCTAAAATGAAGATCTAACTCTATTAAAAGGGCTAATTTAAGCCTTCTTACACTGTCCACATAGGCAGATATATTTATCCAATCAGAGTGTTTCAAAGCTCCACGTCATATTGGTTTGTGTTATCACATTGAAATCTAGATTTGGTTTTGACTGAAATTCTATTCTGGTTTAATTATTAGTTTCTCTTTCGGAGAAATCTAGAAAGCATTAGATCTCCTCTTCCCTTTCGACTTCCTCTGTATCATCTCATCTCTTCCGTTTAGGCGATTGGAGAAGCCACTCTCTGCTCTATTCAATTATTTGCTTCATTACATTCAATCCCTAATGTACCTACATGGGTCAGTCCTTCATTGTCACCTTAAAATGAGCGACAACGATCATCACGTCTATGTTTGCGCGTAATATGCCAAGGAATCTGGGGAAGAATACCCAAGGTAAAACTCCAAGGTAGAACTAAGTGTTAGTCTGATCTTAGCATCAACGTCTGGTAATAGAGTTCTAATGGAATCATGATTGGTAATTTCACAATTAAATTTGTTTTTTTGTTCCGTCTGGATTTGTAATACTTTGAATGATCCCAAAGAAGATTTCTTTCTCAGATTTCAGTTAAAATTTGCAGAGGAGAGCCAGTAAGAAAGAAAGAAAGAAAAGATATTGATAAAGATAGATACAGAATTCACGGCTTCTACAAAAAGATCAGTGTGGTTAACTGTCCAAACACCCGCTGCATCTCTGCGGTTTCCAGACGTCTCGGTTACGGCGGGTGGTTCCATTTTTCTGTAGCTAGTGCATCATTTGAGTTTTGGTTAACGACAAGAGTTCGTCTCTGCTTTTTTCCTCAAGCATCTATATTTATTCAAAGAAGAGTCTATGAGGTAAAAATTGTTTTGATTTGCTAAAAGAAAAATCGTAAGAATGTTGTGTGTTGTGGCTTAACATTTAGTTCTTGGTTCGATGTTTTTAGGGTTTCAAGCTTCAGCTTTACACTTCAGATTGATTCGGGTTACCCTCTGATGTCACTTGAATTTCCCACGAAAACAGTCTTACAATGATGAGGGCATGGGTTTAAACACAGTGAGCGAAAGCTCTCAATACATTCTCTGTGAGGGATGCTTTTGGGTAATCAAGGTCATGGTAAGACCATAGGTACTATAAGGCAAGTCATTGTTCAGACAAAACTTAACTAAAAGGGAAAACACACAGTCACCAAATTTCTTTCTCAAGAATCAGAAAAAGGATTTGTCTTTGGGATTACAGATTGATCAGATCTTAATTTCTTGAATGAAATGTTACTTTATCTGTAAATTACAGAAGTTAGTACTGCATTGAGTAAATATGTAGATGAAGAAGTAGGACACTCTTTACCCATACCATAAATGTAGACACCTTTTTTTATGTCACAGTTTCGGGTGAACTTCATTAGTTGAAGGAATGAATGACACAAACTTATACATCTGTGGTGGGTTTCTCTTCAGCCATTCTTACATCAAAAAATATTTGTGGTCGATAAACTAATTTATCATTTTATTGTAGTGCCGTACAGGTCCGGTCTCTTTTACGTTCTATGACTGGAATCCAACGGAGCTCCCGCAGAGACCACGTCGTCAAGTATTCTAAATAACTTTATACTATAGTTTAGTGTTCAGAGGCCATGTTTACGAATCTCAAAGTACTAAATTTCGTGTGAACAACTGCATTTTCAGGTACTCCAAAAGTTGGCCATCGTGTCTATTGACCTGGAGGGCTATATACTTCCAAAATGTACAGCTTTGACTGTCTTTATAGCAATGGCAGGGATTATGTGCGCAAAGGTATATTATGTGATCTTTTCCTCATCATTATCATGTTCTTGATGCCAAGACACTATAAAATTGTTTCTTTCCAGTTTTCGTTTTCAAAGAGAAAAGATAACATGCTCTTTTTCCATTCTCCAACTCCGTAGATGGTAAGAAAAAGAAGCAATCATGGTGGATTGTTCTGATGATTTGTAAATTTATACACATACAGGTTGAGAACTAGCTCATGGAATTTCCTTAGAAGAGGAAGGGACAAAATCATTTACACCATTTAGAAAAGCATAGCAGATTACACTTTCATTCCATCAGGTATGGGAGAATATTCAATGATCATTACCATGACTTTCGTTCTCTCAGATTTTTAATCATATGCTATACTCATATATAAGTAGTTTCACTGTGATTCTGTAAATAGTACAACATTTTTTTTTATTACTATACTAGAAAAACATTCTTACTTTCTATTTCTACTGAATGTTAATATAGTCCATTGCATATTATATAGGTACTTAGGTAGAGATTTATGAGGTAGAAGACTAAAGGAATGGTCTATTAAAATAGAATTCTGCTGAGAGTGGGTTATGTGTATCGTCGTTTAATAAATCTCAAATGCTTTCTCAGTGGAATGGAACAAGAGAGTGGTGAAGGCAAGTTGTGACATCACTATGACCAGTAGAAAGTTATCATATTTGCTTTTGTTGACATACCAGTATGAACAGGTTACATCAAACTATTGCTTTACTTTTCGTTTATGTTGCTATAATGACGAGTTTTTAATAGCTTAAACTCTTATGCTCTGTTTTTTTTTTTTTTTGAGTTGTAATGTTATTATGTGGCAGGCTCAGTAAAAAAAACAAAGTACACCTTTTTGAGAGCTTTAAGGTGTACACTTTGGCTGGCTGATGAAAGAGATTCCAAAACAATTTGGAAGCAATGACGAGCAACACTTTGGCTGGCTGAGGAAAGAGCTTCAAAGAACTGATTTTCTAAAGCTGCAGAGAGCTTATTCCCTAGGGGTTGATCAGAGATATATGCATCACGACAGTTATCCCTCTCGGTCATGTAGAAAATTCACCGCTTTCTTCCTCCTTCACTTCTTTGCTTGAAAGTCACTTCGTCTCCAGTTCCCTGTTTATCCTATATCCAGCTCTGACAATCTCATGCTTCAAACCTACATCGCTGCTACAACAACTTGGCAAAAAGGTATGTGTTCAAGCGGATTAGTATGTTTTTTGGTCAGACATTTCTTTTTGTCAACTTTTGGTCAGACTTATGTATGTGTATCCCAACGGTGTTTAAAACTGTTGATGCTATAAGCTAAATAAAATAATGTTATCATTTTCTTCTTTTTGTTTTATGAAAAATAATATAATAATAATCGTGTAAAATAATTTGTGGATAATAAAGCTTACCAATTGTGTTTATGCTTTATTATAAAATAAAATATTGATATATGAATACAACTTCTAATATAAATAATACTTAGTTTTAATTTTGTAATAAAAAATTGAATAAATAATAATCAGTAGAAATCAATCTCAAAATATTAATATTGATCTAGGTTTATGAACAATAAGTTTCATATATTACAATATTTAGTTTACAGTAAATAAACAATAACACATAAATATAATTAAATACATAAATTTAATTTTTAGAAGTAGGCAAGCAGCTAGAAAGGAAATCATAGAAATGGAACTATGTATTCCTGACAATAGGTAGTTATGGTTAGAAATCATACAAAATCGAAAATTTACATAATCTTTTATCAATTATTTCAATAATTTTCTTTTGTTTTAAACAGAACAAATAACAATTTATCTAACACTTTATCTTTTGGTTCCCTATACTTTTACCCATTCACTTTGATCTCTACAGTGTGCTAAATCAATATTACGAACAGAAAAACAGATTAATGAATTATGAGAAACCATAGAATATAATTCTATGATCAAATTCAATCATAGTAATTTACATTAAATGGACTTAAGAATTTATAACCAGAAAATTAAATATATCAGTTGTTTTACATTTCAAATTCTAAAAATAACGCAAACTCCTACCTCCTTCATTACCTAAAAAAATAATGAAATATTTGATTTCTTTATTGTCAAAAATAGTTGAATAATTTATTTCGGATTATTCATCAAAAAGAATCCATCATAAGAGCTCAATATGCCAATATTTTAAACTAAAATAAGAAAGAAAGTTTAGATTCAAATAAGTTAAGTTAAACAAAAACAACAATTAGTTGCCCACAAATTAACATGCTTTAATATATTTACAATCAAAAAATCATTTAATCTAGCAGTTAAACAAAACTTTACCCAAGTAAACATCAAAATAGTGGTAAAAAAGAATTCAAAATAAAAAAAATAGCAGTATATGAAAAAACTGAAGTTAACAGTTGTAACAAATTATTAAAATGCAAGTTGAAGAAAATTAATTAATTGCGCATAAATCTATCAAAAATACACACTACCTTAAAATAACCACATCTAAACACACAAAAATAATCAATAGCGCACCACTTTGTAAATTATTCCAACATCATTCACTCATAAAATCTATAAAATATAACATTATGTAAACAAAACACCAAAATTTGAAAAAACTAACACGGACAAACATAAAATATAACCACAAAAAGTCATGAAATATTTTAAATATAAAAAAGAACAAAAATAATGAATACTACATGCAACCACACTAAAAAATATCACATAACAACTGGAAAAATATAAAACAACATTTTTATTTTAATAAACATGAAATATCCAAAAGTAACTGATAGACCTTTAATAAGAAACGACAATTAATCAACCAATTGCTATTTTGTTTTACCAATATGTCAAATTTTTATACAAAAAATGATATTGGTATAAAAATCAACCAGTAATAAGTTAAAATTTCAAAATGATAAATAAAAGGAAAAATTAACAAAAAGGAATATTTTACTAATAAAATTTTATACTTCTAATTAATTTTACTTACAAATTACTAAATGTAATTTACTAAATTCAGTCTTACACAATCAAACATATTAAAAATGGTTTTAGATCTATTACATAATTAAAAGAATTGATTTTAGATTAACAACATAATCTATAATGATATGTTAAGTGTATTGTTTAAAAATCATTTTCCTCCTATTCATTTATTTATGTTATAATTTATATCCTTTTCAATTAAGATGATCTAACCTGCCTACAAAATAACACAAAATTTTCAAATTCATTATACTAAAATTTAAAATATAATATAAAATGTAACAATTCACATACATATAAAATGATATATTTAAAATAAATAAACCGCGCGAAGCGCGGTGAAAATCTCTAGTAACTATAAGAAATATTCTCTTTGTCTCACAGTTTTATTCCTTTCACGATAATTGAATTTTTTACATAAGAAGGTACTCTACGGGGTAGGTTGTTTATTAGTCTAGTATGCTACAATAGCAAATTCTTGAGTTTCTAAATTAGTTTTGCAATCATCTTTTACGACAGACTAGATCTTTTCTCCGCTCGTAGTATTTAAATTTGTTACATTTATCATTTTTATTTATATGTAAATTTTCGTATATTAAATTATATTTAATTAATCTTAAATTTGATTTTTCTTTTATATTTTTAGATTGAAGTAAGTATTTGAATCTAATTTATTAGTGGTCCTAGATAATTTAGTTATATAATTATTTTCAATATACCATGAAATTTATAGTAAATTTTAAAAGATAATTCTACTATATGTAACACAATTAATTAATAAAATATGAAGAATCAAGTTCGAGATTTTAGAATTATGTAAAAGAAATATAATTATGTATATAACATAATTATCTTAGTTTAAAAGATCGGAATTTCATCTCGAATAAATTCACAAAAAGAAAAAGTACTCCAATAACCTACTTAAATATAAAACTCTATTCTAAAAAAAAAGGTGTATTTAATAATATTTTACGTGTAATAGTTGAAAAACAACAATTGAATATCAATCTAGAATATTATTTTAATATACCAAATGGTAAAATATTAATTGTAATAAACAAATTTTGAATTTTTCAATTTTACATGAATTAGAAGTCTTTAAAATCTATATCTATTTTATTAACATAATATATTTTTTATTCATTTATTATTTTGACGTTACAAAATATTGCTTTAGTTTTATTTGTTTATTAATTTGTTAATAATTTAATTTCTTTTTAAGTAATTTTAAAATTATCAAGAATATAATATATTTAAAATTATTTATTTAAATATATCCAATATGATGTCTCATTTTTATGTGTGTTTACGTCAACCATATTTAATTGGTAATTCGTATATTTAATAACATCTTGTTGCGTGCCGTTCTATAGTTTTAATAAATGTGTTGTCCTTTCATTTTTATTACTATTACATGATTTTTTAGTGATCAGTGATAATGTAATTTTTATATTATTTATTATATTTTATGGTATATTTTTTATTTAGATTTCCACTTTTCGTATGTTTTATTCTAAATCAAATTAAAATATATTTTATGGTCTTAGTAAATTAAATATTTTTTAAAATATGAAGATGAGAAAATATGTTGAAAAACTGATATTTTTTATATTCCATCCGATAGTGGTTATCGACTATAGTGTATAACTTCTTTTAAAGTTGTTTAGTTCAAAGTGAAATAGTATAACTGGTTGTGACTGATCGATTCAATAAAAATAGAATAAAAAATTGATAGTCATAACAAAATTAATTTAGTTGAAATTCAAACATAAAGTACCATTGATATTTGAGAATGCAAAAAATGTAAATTTTTTTTTTTTTTATTATCCTGTCTGAAGGAAGAAAAAAATGATTTCATCCCAATAAAGTAGTAACAATCTTCACATACTTTGTTAATATCAAAGATGTGGCAATTTTTTGGGCGCTCCATTGTGGCACTAAATACTTTGTCTTTAAAGGGATCATGAATCTAGTACGTGCATAAAATTTAAATAAAAAATAAAATTATACATTAGGTTTTTTAAGTGCATATACATCGTATCCTGAGAAATATGGATAAAATAGAAGAAATAGAATATTAAATTAAATAGAAAAAGATAATGATTAACAAACTCATTGTAGTTAATTCAAGTAAGAATTTCATAAGTAATAATAATAACTAGATGATAATCCGTGCCAAACGCGGGGTGAATTTTTTTATAAAATATATTGTATTTAAATACATATTTTGTTATCAATAATATTTTTTTACATTTGATTAGGGATGGACATTTAGGTACCATTTGGTTCGGTTAGATTCTATTTGGTTTAGATATTTTTGGATTTTGAATCTTCGCAGGTTCGGTTTGGGTTTAGGTTCAGATAACTCAATTAATTTAGTTAGAAAAGATTAAAGTTTATATATACTTAAAATTTCTCAAAATCTAAAATTTAAAATAATATATAACATATAAATTTTAAAAAGTAAATACCAAAATACTTAAACTTAACAAAAAAATTTGGTTTATCTTTAATATTTAGACAAAAGATCAATAAATATTTCAAGTATTTTTGATATTTGGAATATCATTTAGCTATTTTTAAAATTTAAATTTAACTATTTTATATACATTTCTAAATATTTTTGAAAATTTTAAAACATCTCATGTATTTTCTATATTCTTAGATGTTAAATTTAAAAGTAATTAATATATTTAAGTATATAAATCTGGTTCGAGTACACTCGGATACCCGAAATATTTCGATTCAATTTTGGTTCTCTAGATACCAAAATTTTGAATCCATTTGGATATCTAACCAATTTTGGTTAAAGATCTGTACTACTTTTTGGATTTGATTTGGTTCAGTTATTTGGATTCAAATTCTTTGCCCAACCTTATATTTCTTATTGTAACAAAATTTTAAGCGAATGGGATGATGATTCATATTAATTTTGGGTATGCAATACTTTTTAAACCAAAACACATTCTATTATGTACGTGATCCATTGAGTTAATCATTAAAAAATATTTAAGACCCATTAAAAACGATTGGCTGAACTGAAAAACGTTGAAAAATGTTATCATTAATTTCTTTTAATAATATAAAATTAAATAAAAATAAAGAGGATAAAAAGTTGTTATCAAATCTTTAATATTCACAATCATTAATTTTGATATATATATATATATATAAATATATATATATTATTTATATTAGGTAATCCCGTATGTTTCATTTAAGCAAATAATAGAGAATATTATTTTGTACACTACTAATTAAATACAACAGTTAGTTTAATAAAAATATAACATATGTTTAGTTGTACCAACATATTTCTCTAAGAGTTCTGAAAATCATTTTCATTGTGACACGTGGTTACAAAAAAAATGTTGTAATGCTTTAGAATTAATATATATTGGATATCCGCGCATTTGAGCGGGATGAGAATTATATATATATATATATATATATATATATATAATTTTTTTATGTCTTATTCTTTATTTTGTGTTCTCTTATATATTATAAAATATTAAATACATATATTGAATAACTGAAAAATCTGTAACTATTATATATACAATTAATTTAGCAAGCACTTAAATAAAATAATTATATTTGTTTATTTACAATCACTTTATATACGTAAATCTAATTAATAAATAACATTAACATACATATATATATATATTATACTTTTAATTTGAATATCTAATAAATGAAGTTCCACACTTACATATTTTTTTGGTCAATTGTTTTTTTTTTTGAGGGATGGTAAGACAAAGGAGAGCGCTCAATTGTCGTAACAGACGGAGCGAAACGCTCTTCCCACATGAAAAAGCGAGAAAATAACCACTACTCACATGGTTTTATGAAAATTTATATTTTTATAATTAAAATTTTAAAATATTTATGACATCATTTTTAATCGGAGAGATTTAATATTTACAGTAATTTATCACCATTTAAAAAAAAAAATAAATTCAGAGTTTGTCATTAAAGTATTATGTTCTCAATACTTTTTTTTATGTTCTCAATACTTGTTCAATGCAATTTTAGAATTAAATATTTATGTATTTTTAAATGGTATTTAGTTTAATCAAAAATCACTTAATATATATATATATATATATGCATGTAATTTAAATATCTATTAAATGATATTTATTACTCATTAATTATATAATTGTTTGTATCGTGCTATAACAAAAATTTTAAACTATTAATCAAAAATATTATATGTGAAAGTGTTAATTTTTTTATTAATTTATAGTCATTTTTAAAAATTCAAAATATAACATATATAAAAATTCTATTTTTTTGGTTATATATTTAATATTATTGTTTAATTTATTTTCACAATATAAATTTAACAAAAAGAGTAGATGCTATAAAACTGTTTATCAATTATTTCATATTCAAATCATTAATTGTCATATATATATATGTATATATATATGTATATTATAACCATATTAGGTAATTACGTAAATTTTATTTATAGAAATAATGATTAGTACTAATAATAGTTTTATGCTTAGTTTAATAAAAAGTATATTATATGTTTATATGGAGCAACATTTTCTCTAGTAAATTGAGAAGCATTCTCATGATGACATGTGACTACCAAAACATGTTGTAATGCTTCTCAATTAATATATAGGGGATTAATATTTTTTTTACAAAATATACATTTCTAGTTTTTTTAACAGAACCCTCATTTTATTTTTTGTATAGATAACTTACATAATAATTACTGTAATATTTTAATCTATATTTTTATATTTTCTATCTTCAAAACTTTGGTAAAAATAATCACTATCAAAATCTGCAAAATTAAGTATATAAAATGAATTGAATTTATTTAAATTTAAAATGATATTATAAAAATTTAAGATTGTATATATTTTGTTGTTAAGAATATTATTTATTATTCTATTTACTTATAAATTAAATGATATTAATTTAAGATATTTGGAAAAACACAAGAAGCATTCTCTTCGCAAAACACATTTAAATCCTATGAAACATATTAATAACTGTGAACATAAATTAATTTAAGTAAATTTTAAAATCAATATAATTTTTTTTTTTTTACTTTTTAGGGTATATAATTTGAATTAATTATGAAAAGATATTTTATTTATTTATAATATTTAATGAGTTCAAAATTAATATTTTTGAAATAAGTGAGTTCCACCAAAGTGAGTTCTTCTTCCAAAAACCTTATAAAATCGTCTTATATTAATATAAATACAACATTTATTGGTTATAAATCACTTATAAATAAATTTTAGTTCAAAACAATCAGCATTGTAAAAAAAATTTTCTACAATTTCTAATTTTACAGAACCAAAAAAAAATATGTTTCTTAATTAGACCAAACTACAGTTTTCAAAGCAATCATATGCCCGGAAAATGTTTGATGTTTAATGGTTTATGATGAAAAAATGTTGCAAAAAACTCTCCATTTCATGTTATTTGGTGGAACTCTATTCTAAAGATTTGAAGTTTTAAAAGACATAAAAAGTTGGACTGGTTTGAAATGTATATGAAAGTAACGTCCAAATCTTAAGTCTATATATATGACATTAAACGATGTTATGATTAAAGACAATATATGCTATTAGATATTGAACCCGTAAGAAAAGACACGTTCTAATATCTTTCCATTTTCTACTATATATCTATCTCCCACAGCCAAGACTCTTTTTCTTTTTATAACACGTTCTTTCTCTATAGTTCTCAAATTAATATCAATGTAATAAAGAATAGAGAAGTACAGAGAAACCTAATGAAGTCTTATGTTTGCATCCCAATGAAGTCTTATGTTTGCATGTTTACATAAACCGTTACTATGTTAATGATCAGTGATAAAATAAGTTCAAAACTTAGCAAAAGGTAATTAAAACCAAAATAGACCAGAGCCAAGATAGCTCAAACGTTGAAAGCCAAATTATGAAAATGAAACACAGCATAGTCTTTAAATAAAAGTCAAACCAGTACTTAATCTGCAACATATTCTCCAACATGTGAGAGTATAAATGGAGATCTAATTACCAATCTTTGCACGTTTGGCTTCACTTGATTCAACCAGGTCAGAACCTCTTCGCCCTCCCATCTACAGGTTCCTTAGACACATTTTCTACCAAAGCTTCTACGGGTTCAGCACACCATCAAGAGGGAGTACCTTTGTGAAAGTCGAAGCGTGTGTCTGGCCTAAGATTGTGGTCTGATACCTTGACAGTGAACCTGTATGTCCGTCCAATGCTATCAACCAAGGTCTGTGGCACCGGGATTAAGTGATCATCACCCATGCTCTCATTGACCTATCATAAATTGGAATAGTTGTTATAGTAAATATGCAAAGCTGTATTGACATAGAGGTCAGTAATCACCTCAAGGTAGCTCTCAACCCTCTCTAATGCCTTTTTCCAAGTCAGCTCAAGCCCAGCTTCACCAAGGATAACAAAAACCGCCTGGTCATTGTTATCATAAACAGACAGCTTTGTCTTTGTGAGGTACCTGCCACGGAAGAGTATTAAAAGAATGCACAAAAGTATGACTGAATAGAAACTATGACACTTATTGTGGAACACCATTTACTTCATGTTTACCACATTTCTTGCACATGAGAGAGGTAGGTCCTTTGGTTGCCTTGGTATGGCACACACGACAGCCAATATAATACCAAGGAGAACCGTGGACAACAACATCAACAGTTGCTTTACACTCAAACCAAGCAACCTGCGACAATGAAAATACTTCCGACACAACTCATCAGCAGGTACATTTCTAAAGTTAGGCTTCTTGGTTACTTGAGTATTTAGACAGAAATTCGAACTAAATACTGACTATTGCAGAGAACATGTTGAGATCAATATGAAAACTCATACTACCAAGATCACACTTTCCGCTAAACGAATGAGTCTTCTAGACAAATGTAATCAGATAAGGACATGTCAACCAAGAATTGATGCAACCATGGTTGAGCCAGATGACTATGCGACAAAGGATAAACCGGGATGGCTGAATGGAAAGCTTGAAGATGAAACGGAGGCTGGAATGGAGCATAATGAGCCTATATGGCTATGAAGAACAAGACAAACAAGCTGGAAAAGTTGAGGATCAGACTCATGGACGACTTAGGCTTATTTCTCAGCCTAAATAAAGATCAATATCCAAGTTGAGGATCCATTTTCTCTTCCTGAATGGAAAGCCACGAAAATCAAGTCAAGAAGTCAGCCAAATTAGTATTTAGTTTTCAAAACAATTTTGGTTTTAATTAAGTTTTTCTTATTTTTCTACAATTTTAGGACTTTTCGTTTTCATCTTGTCTACATATACTCTAGTTTATTTCTGAATAAAGTATTCACCTTTTTATCAAAAACTTTCTCTAAATTGTGAATCATTTGTTCATCTTTGAACACTGATTGCTAGGAGTTCATTCTCTGCAAAGAAAACTTGTCTTTGATTGAAATCAGAGTTCATTCTCTTGATCAAAGACACATATACTCAAGTGTTGATCAATCCACAGATCCTCACTGAAGTTCATCAACCATTTCTACCTTTTATCCATCAAAACCATCATCATCTATCCTTCAAACCACCAGATCATCCTTCAAAGGATCAGGGACAAAAGAATCTCTTCACCGGAGGTTTCATCAAGAATGGAACTGGTTAAGAAGTCTCAAACATACATTCCACACCAACCAAAAAACTTTTTCATAATGAATGTGTAAAATGTGGGGAATATACTACCTTTTCTGCTTCCTGCTTGATATAGGAGAATAACTCCCCTATTGACTGTTTCAGTCTTTGTGACCACCGTTGCATCGACCCTATTAGCAACATCTAAATTTGAGTCCAACCTCAAGAAAATATGGAACCAAAAATGTAGTTAGACTGAATTTACAAAATATTCAATATGCTAACTTCCAAAACGTTTTGGGTTGACAGTGGTAACTAAAACAACCCTTGGAATGCTTCCATGCGACTTGAATTTGGCACAAAAGTCTGCTGCAGCCTGGTCCCATAGGTAGAGCTTCATCACTGGTACACTGAAATTAAAATAAACCCAAGTGATTAAAGAAATAGTATACTAATAGATCCAAGACACTGGGAATGACTTACTCATGAGTTTGAACATGGAGAAAAAGCCGTCGGGTCGAAGCTATTTCCTCTTCATCAAGCACCACACTGTCATTTAGTGTTTTTCCATCAAGTGCCCAACATAATCTGCAATAATAAAAATAGGAACTAATGGTGATTAACTTTGTTTGAAAAATATATTTATAACGTAAAGCTCATCATACAATGCAACATAATTAAAAAAAAACTTGGTACTCCACATCTAAAACTGACAATCAATAATTATAACCAAAAATATCGGATACTACCAAATAGTTCTCTAGCTACTAAATAAAAATAGAACCTGATACTCTACAGTTAAAATAGACAAATCTACTTATATAGAAAGCCACAAAAGCTATCAACCTTGACGGAGGAGACGGCGGTTTTACCGCTTTGTTGGATCGGTACGGCGGAGGAGACGGCAGACATCACCTTATGGACATTAGCGGAGGAGATGGCAGATGGACATTTGATTTCTTCACAATCAGATCGTCGGAGACTATGGCTTTCCCGTTCGACTTCATCAACGTAACAAATTGAAAGAGTTTTGATTGAAAAAAAAACATGAAAGAGAAGATCTATAAATGAATGGAGAGGAACCTATAAAGCAAACCGAAACAGATAATTGAATACTCTAATGATCGGTTGCAGTGGAGATGGAGAGACAAAATGTTGATAGATCGACGGCAATTGATTACTCTTGATACACAGAGCTAGGTTTTGATTTTGGGCCTCAATAGGCTATTGGACATATTAAGAGACAAAATAATGTAGAGCCCAAATAAAAAAATTTGTCTGATTACGTGGCCGAATAACTTAATATCATTGGCTGTTTTATTGGTCCTACGTGGACATGCTCCCGAGGCTGCATATCGCCCTTTTAATAGTGTATTGATTTCAATTCCTATTCTTAAAATCAAAAAACGAAACTACTTCCACTTAGAATATGTGCTTAAAACTCATTTTTATTCAAATTCATAAACCCACCTGTTCTCCAAAATTGGTCCAACACAAAAGTATTTTGACAAAGAAAATATGTTGATAAACAGATTTGAATACATTTTTGGGAAAATTGTGTTTTAGGCCAAAAATGGTAACTATGTCCCATTACTAATTTTTATTTTATACCATTTTGCCTTTAATGTTCTTTAGTATTTTTGAAAATAAATTAAATAAATAGTTTTACAAACAAAAAAAATATAGAAAATAGTAAATACTGATTAAATACTTATACCATTTTAGTGTTATTGTTTCAAATTCTAAAAATGTCTAAATCATAATTTCAGATTTTGTTCTACATAAAGTAGAATTGACATTCTATGAAGTAGAAAATAAAGTCTATTTTTTCATTGAATCTACTACGATCAGAATACATGTTCTACGTATATAATACTAATCCAAAATTATGCGGAATATACATTCAGTGCTTAATCTATCCCTCTATAATCAATATAATTAGGAATCTACACATTATTTATAAATATAAAATCAGTAGAAATCAGAATCTACACATTATTATAATCTAAAACATGTAGAAATTGATTTAAAATACTATTTGCTGGTGTCAAAAACCGTAATCTCGAAATCAACGTCTACGATAACTTCTGTAAAAATGGAATCATTACTTTCCGCAAGAATCACTTTATAAAACTCGAGAATCGTTTTATAAAACTCGAGAATCGTTTTATAAAACTCGAAGATCGTTTTATAAAAACTCGAAGAATCGCTTTATAAAACTCGAGAATCGTTTTATAAAACTCGAGAATCGTTTTATAAAACTCGAAGTTCATTTTATAAAAACTCGAAGAATCGTTTTATAAAACTCGAGAATCGTTTTATGAAATCGCAAAAAAACCGAAACCGCCGCAAAACGCGAACTAGTCATGACTAGTTCGCCTGCTGGTGAACTAAGCCGAGCTGGCTTAGTTCGCCAGCAGGCGAACTAAGAGTCTCCCGACTAGTTCGCCTGCTGGCGAACTAAGCCAGCTCGGCTTAGTTCGCCAGCAGGCGAACTAGGAACCTCCCGACTAGTTCGCCTGCTGGCGAACTAGAGACTTCCCGACTAGTTTGCCTGCTGGCGAACTAAGCCAGTCGGAGAGCTGGACCGGACCAGCTCGATTCTCCGTACGTTGAACCAACCATCCCGAGCCTCGATCTCCCGCAACCCCAATTCGAAACTTACGTCCTTCGATACGGTCGCATTTTGAACCACGGCCGAAATATCTCTCTTTTCGTCTCGATCCGACTTGTCGTTCGAGTTTTACGATAAAAACCGTAAAACTCCATTTTCTCGAAAAGAACTCGAAGAAATCGTATAAAACGGTAACAGTTAAACAAGACACTGAACATCGCCCAAACTATACGATTTATCCGAGATTTTTCGTTAAAATTGTAAAAACATATTCTTAATAAACACTTCGAGTAAATCGTAAAAAATGGAAACGATTAACCGAGAAACAAACGGAGCTAAACATTATGATTAACTCGTGGAATTTACTAAAAACGGCATTGAATCAGGAAACGATTCCGTACAAGGTCGAGAAACGGATTTATCGCAAAACGGCCCGGAAGGTCCTAAAACGCGATAAAGTCCATCCCGCGATCTCGACAGAATCTAACCCGTAGATACAATAAAGTTTTGACGGTTTACTCGCAGAAGGGAAATAAATGCCAAGCTTGAAGATAAAAGGCAAGTTTGAAGATAAATAGAAGATTTCCGCGGGGAAAAAAGAAGGATGGAGATATATAAGCCAGAAGCATAGGGAAGAGGAGGAGGACGAAATGGAAAATGGAAAATGGAAAGATTGAGCCACCTGGGAAAGGAGTATATAAGCCAGAAGCATAGGGAAGAGGAGGAGGACGAAATCCAGAGCTCTCATCTGAGACTTTTACAACTTTTCTAGACTTAGAATTTTCCGCACTTAGAAACTTAGGCTTTTTCTCGACAAGTTCGGTTTCTATGACTGGCGCTCAATTACTAGACGAACTCGCCTAGGCGGTTCGATCTTTGGTCCAGCTCTATCAAATAAACTACGTTCGACTTGATCCTCGAAAGGGGTACGTAGGCAGCCTTTCATAAGGTTCAGTCCGAAATCATTCAAATCCTTTTTCTTGTCTTTTTCCGTCTTTTGTTATCGAGCTGCGACTCGATTAGGTTTAAGGTTTTTATGTTGATAACTCGCTGACGGCCCTGCGGCCAAAGCCTTTGTAAACCCTTGTAATGATCGCAACGCTCTTACGCGAAATCGAAATAAGATCTATTTTTTCTTTAAATTCGTTTTATTACGTTTTTTCATATTTTTCCGCATTTATTTGGTTACTTGTCGTTGGCTTTCGCAGAGATCCGGTTTCTCTGGAAAATTAGCGTTTTCCTAAATTTCCTTATTTAACGGAAATCGACAAGTGTGAGTTTCGGTTCCCACAGTTTGGCGCTAGAAGGAGGGGGGGGGTCAGATTACTCTTACTCATAGCCGCAAAACGCTTGACCAAAACGATGTCTGGATGTATGAAAGACAAAGTCGCAACTCGCAAAAAGACGCTGGTAAAACAACTCCAGCAGCAACTGCTCCTACAGCCAACGCTCACGCAAACGCTGTAGTACTCAACAAAATCGAAAACCTAATCGCGACTCTTCGCCACGGGAAGAGCAACAAAACAAGCTCACGATTTCTATCTCAGATCACTAAGGGCAACGATAAAATCTATGAAAACCCATAGTGTTTTTCTTATTTCCGAGT